ACATACATACATACATACATACATACATACATGCATACATACATACGTACATATACATTATCACTAAACTCTACAGGTACATATATATACATATATATATATATACATATATATATATATATATTATGCAATCCTGTGTACAAAGACTATACATACATTCAAAATTATCAGTATATGTGTGTACATACAAATATGCATTTTGCTAGGATGATGTGTGGCTCTAAGTGTTTTCAATATTCTCAGGCCAGACGCATCAAAGTGCTAGTGCTACAGCATGAGTCCTCTGCAAAAGAACGTGCCATACAGTTCACACTAGGTGCATTAAATTGCTGTGCAGCTTCAGAACACGTCTAGCAGGGAAGCCTTCTGTCTCAAATGCTGATTTGTACGTGGAGTACATTCCTCAAGAAAGCGATCGTCTCTTCACTTACAACAGCGAGCAAGACACTGGACACCGTCTTGACAACCTTGGCAGGTACACAAACACAAACAGATGAACTTCATCGTTGCAAACAGTTTTTGCAAGTGGTTGCGAATATGAAGTTGTGGCCGAAGGGCCCCAAACCCTAAACCCTAAACCCTAAAGCCCAGACCTCGAAGTTTAAGCTGCGCAAGCTGGACAGGATACAGTTAGGCCAACTCCATCTTACAAGTCACACGAGCGTCGTCTGTTTGCTTACCATGCATGTATGTGGGTCGCCATAATGCGGATCTTGTACTGTCCTAGACCCGAAACCCTAAACCCTATCGTTTAGGGTTTTATGTTGGGGTCCCTCAGTCTCTACCTCTCAACGGCCTTTTGAAGGACATCAAAATACGGAACCCTGCAAAAGGCAGGTTCGATTAGTATAGGGGTCTCAAAAACTTGCCTACGTTATTTTGGGGCTCCTTATTGTTATACTTACAGTATACTGGATCCCAAAACCCTACTCGAAAAATTAAGGCCCCTACATTAGGGTTCAGGACAGGTTCTGAAATAGCCTAAGGGAGAACTTTAAACTTTTTGGCCTTATGCTTGGTCTCTGGCAGAAACTTTAAACATCTTGGGCCCGGTTATTGAAGAAGAGAGGGTTTGGGGAGCAGCTGTTCAGGTTTCATCATGAATGACGAGGATTTTTGAGAAGCCATAAAGTTGGAACATCATTTATATAGGGGCCTGAATAATAATTATCTATACTATTTTTTTTGGGGGGGGGTCCTTCTTCTGATTATACTATAAGGGTCCCCAAAACCCTATTCCAATTATTAAGGCCCCTACATTATCCTCATGCCCTTACGGTAGGGAATCCTGCCTTACTATCCTTACTTGGAGGTTCGTGAGTAGTTATAAGTGGGGCTATAAGTCCCCTAATATGGGTTATAATTATAGTTACCCTACTTATAACCCCAGTTATAACTACCCACGAACCTCCAAGTAATCCATGTTCCAAATTTCTGAGGTTCACTATCTGGGGTTGAAGACTCCGAGTTATGGGTTTCGGGGTTTAGGGTTTCGGGTTTAGGGTTCAGGGGTTTAGAACCCTAAACCCTAAACCCTAAACCCTAGGGTTTAGGGTTTAGGATTCCTGAAGAACCTTCTATTCAGGACTTATGGCAGGAAATCCTCAAAAAGAGCTCGACATGACACAGGTAATTTAGGGTTTAGGGTTTAGGGTTTAGGGTTTCTGCCTTTCGGGGTCGAAGCTCCGAAGTTAGATGATCATGCGGTCTATATGTTTTTTTGTTGAAGGCTCGTGGCCGGTTTTCTGGGTTTGTAACTTCCCCCGATTTTGGAACGTTTTGCCCTAAGTCCTAAAACCTAAACCCTAAGTTCTAAACCCAAAGCCCTAAACCCTAAACCCGAAACCCGAAACCCCGAAACCCCGAAACCCCGAAACCCCGAAACCCGAAACCCGAAACCCTAAACCCCGAAAGCCTGAACCGGCAGACTCTCGGCTCTAGGCGCGCCTGGATGACAAGTCCGTTTGCGCTGTGGGCCCGAAGCCTTGGAAAAGGATCTTTACTATAGGGTTTAGGGTTTAGTGTTTCGGGATTGCGATTTAGGGTTTAGGGTTTAGGATTTAGGGTTTAGGGTTTAGGGATGTACTACAGAGGCCTAAGCTTGGCGAAGGATTTACTATAGAGGCCTAAGCCTTGGGGAAGGATTTACTACAGAGGCCGAAAATAAGTACCAAAACTATTTTGCGGATTCCTCGTACACCCCCCCAAAGCCTTATTCTAACTATTACGGCCCTTACAATTCACACTAAGCATTAAGCATTCCGAGGCCCTAAGATAACGAGGGTTATCATGTGGCCATATAGGATTATTAGGGTTTGGGTTTTAAAATGTAGGGTGTAGGATTTTAGTCAATTTTGTATGTCATCGGATTTGGGGGATGTTGCCCAAACGATTGCTGGACTGGGGGCCTGAGGTTGCAGGGTTGGGTTTAGGGTTTAGGGTTTAGGGTTTAGGGTTTAGGGTTTAGGGACTTCAAGCGCGTCTTCGAGTGCCGTTTCAAGAACTCGTTTCTGTCCTAGGATTTGATGATCATTTTGCTTTGAGTTTGAAGAAGTGTGATCCTTCTTCCTGTCCACACTATCCTGCTCAGGTTAGAGGAAATGTCTCCAGGCCACGCTGCAGTTGCTGCCTTTCCGCTGACTTCGGTTGCGAATCAGCAAGACTGGCGCGGATGTTTGACACGGCCTCTCGTGATCCTGCGACGTTCCGGCGGATCATTCTAGGATTGGTTTCAGAAAATGGAGGAGCGTGTCTTGCATCATGTACAACCAGAAAGTTCACTACTTCTGGTCTGCAGATGGGAAGTCGCAGGTGCTCGATGCTTTGGATAGCCTCCAACTTGTTTGCAAGGCCTCTCTGACCAGGCTTTCCAGTGAGTTCCAGGACAACCTCGCCAATGACTTGTGCATCTTTAACTGATTGCTTTGTTTTGCTGGGTTTCCACAATAATCAGGGACCCAAAAACGACATGAGCATAAGCATGTTATAGGGATATCCCGACCTCATAGGGCTTCATTTTACGGGGTTTTATATGGGAGATCCCTATCCTTTTTTTTGCTTATGTCTTTTTTGGTGGCTCTATTATCAGATTTTTAGAAGCAGGCCATTTGAGTTGACGGTAGGCGATGGGGTTTAGGGTTTAGGTTTTAGGGTTTAAACATGCCTTGCAGGGGATTGTAGGGTTTTACGGGCTTAAATGTGCTTTCAGACTTCTGCAAGGCTTCTATGACTGTGTAAGTGTAAGGCTTTCGGATTCAGGTAAAGGATGTAGTTCTAAGGGCTTCGGTATAGTATTAACATAGGCTCAGCAGGTCTATATGCGTAGTCCCGGCAGGGCTTTGGACCGCTTCCTGGATCCTCTCCTGCAAATCGCTGGCGTGTTTTAAGGTACAAGGTCTGCGGGTTTGTGGGTTTACAGTTTAGGGTTTAGGGTTTAGGATTTAGGGTTCAGGGCTTTCAGGTTTTAGAGTTTAGGGTTGCTCACCCCGAGTTCCGCATCTCGTGTTCCGGTAGTTTGGACCCCGCAAGTATTTCACCCGAAACCCTCATTGCTTCTAGTAGTCGTGGTGGCCCATGATGTGAGCACATATGAGTCCTGACTCAAGTCTTCAAAAACTTGAAATGCCTACCCGAGCCCCAAGTAGCATGCCTTTTTCAGGACTCATATAAGGAAATCATAGTAAAGAACCCAAAAAGGCGAGGTTTGAAAAAACCGAAACGCTAAGGTTACATGGACGGCAGCGTGCGCCTTTGGGATATCAAGGCCGGGGGTGTCTTCGCACCGACGCCGAGCTACTTGGAGGAGCGTGGGACTTAGTATCTACAATACAGGGTTCTAAACACGACAGCTATAGTTATATACCCTAAACCCCAAACCCTTATATACCCTAAACCCTAAACCCCTTAAAGTTATAGTTACAATAAGATACTTATAACCTTGCTTACTAAGCCCCATGGTCCTCCAAGCAGGGTCTGGTTAGGGTTCAGGGTTTAGGCTTTAGGCTTTAGGCTTTAGGGTTTAGGTTTAGGGTTTAGGCTTTAGGGTTTAAGTTTAGGCTTTAGGCTTTAGGGTCTAGGTTTAGGGTTTAGGGGCCACGTAGCATGTTTCCTTGGTCTTGGCCCCCAGACACCCACCGAATCAACCCCACACCCCTTTTCAATCCTAGCGCCGTTACTTGTGCCCGTGGAATCAATAAGGGGCCCCAATGCAGAGCTCTGAAGTCTTGGAATCAAGCGCCTGATCGTCCCTTTCTGGGTAGTTGTCTAAGGCAGGGTCCATTTTTAGGTCCCCAAATAGTACGGCACCCTTGTTAACAGGAACCTGAAAGGGACCCGAATTTGGAGAACCACCTATATGAATCTACTGCACAATAGATCTTAGCTGCGCAGGCCTTCAACCCAAACGTTACCTGGACCCTAAAGAACCTACCATTTTCGGGTTACTTATTATGATTTCTTTATATAAGTCCTTAAACAGGTAGGTTATTTGGGGCGAAGGTAGGGTTTAGGGTTTAGGGTCCACTGCCTAGCGCGTATGATGATTGTCCTCGGATTTCGGGGTTTTGGAGAGTTCGATTTGCAGCTTGTGAGTGAGCGTGGTGTTAAGGCAGAGAGATCAAGGACTCAGCACCCCTAAACCCTAAACCCTGAACCCTAAACCCTAAACCCTAAACCCTAAACCTTAAATCCTAAGCCTTAAACCCCCAGAGCCCCCGAGCCCCTAAACCCTAAAAGCCTTAGTGCCTAAAGCCCTGAATCCTCTACTCTGCTGCGATGCTTAGGGTTTAGGGTTTAGGGTTTAGGGTTTAGGGTTTAGGGTTTAGTGTCAAACCAAAACCCAACCCCAAGAGAAAACCAGACCCCAGCACAGCTACGGGTCCCGACCTCGGCTCTTTTCATCGGAGCCAAACGCGTGCGCCTTGCCGGGGGCGAGACGTTCAGACTGGGATTGACACTGGTCCAACATCCTTCTCCATCAATGTACAGGGCTATGGAGAGGCATGGCCAGGTTCCCTTTCACTGCTGCCCACCATGTTCCAGGACTAAGAGGCTTATCATCAAGTTGGCGGCGGGTCGGCAGCCAGTGAAAAAGGAAGCAGGTTTCCTTGCGCCCGGAATCGAGCGACTGGCGCAAGGCTGCCAACTCAGTGGCAAACCGTTTATCGAACGATATCCTAGGTGCTCCCTCCTTGCGGGGAGAGTCATAAAGGGATTTACAGTCTGGGTAGAATCGTACACATCTATCCGACAGCTCTTTGACATGATGAAGCCGTCCAGACATCCGCGGATGAAGGTAGGACCGAAGAAGCTGTCCGGCCTCAACGCCCTCAGTGCAGGCCATCGTCTCAGCCGTGAACGTAGAGCGACTGACTCTTTGTATTACCGACGAGTCCCAGTTCAGTATGGGGATCGGGTCAACATCCTTGGAGTAGCACCTGGAATCGCCGGTGACAAGCAAAAAGCCGAACTGGTTGGCCACCTTCGAGCTCGCCTTCTTAGCCTCCCTCTCCTTCAGGTCAAAGGGGAATTCCTTCAGGGATCCCCGTTCGCGGTCCTCGACTGGGAGGGTGAACTCCAGGTCGTCGTCGGTGTAGCGCGACAACGTGTTAACCCAGCCTGTATCGTGAAAAGTGAGGATCTCGAGGTCATTGAGGTTGACATTCTTCAGCCACAGTCCATGTTCTTGAAAGTCTACGGCCTTCCGTGCTGTGGCATTGGAGAGCTTGATGTCGGAAACCGTAGGTGGCTCCCGAAGCTGTTGTGCGGGCGGCACAGAGCATCGCAAATCCGGCCTCGTTTGCGGGGCCAACCACCTCAAAGCTTCCACCAGGCATCGAGTATCTATCGCCTGTTCGGTTGTAACCAAGTCGCGGTCCTGTTGTCCATGCTCGACCTCGATCTGGAACAAGTGATTCGCAGTGTAGGCCGGCTGCGTGATGTAGACCCTGTCGTTGGTGATCTTGGTGTGCGACCCGAAATACTCGAAGTCATCCTGTTCCCACTCGTCGATAGAGAGCACCGCATCCAAGACCGCCTTCACTATAGAGTCCTTTGCGCCAGCGTATCTCGAGTACCTGCATCGGTCCCCGACCGAGGGGTGGCCGAGATTCTGACGAAGTCGTGCCAAAGAGCTTTCGACGTGGCCGGGAACTCCGTTTGGAAAGCTAATCGCTCTCGCACTTGTGAGCTCCTGACCAGGTCCCCGCTTGTCCTCGTGCTCAGCAACGAAGCATCCATGGGCCTTCTCATCTGTAGTGCCATCAACCCTGGCCTTGAGGATGTGTAGCGTCTCGTCCTCTCCACGTATCCAGAAAACAAGGGGGGTGAACTCATCAGGTAGTCCCCGTAGTCGGTGCAAACCAGCATCGGCCTCGAACTTGGGTAACTCAAAGGACTCGGCCACATCTTTTCCAAGTTCCGCTGCCGCGCAAGTATTGGCTTCGCCGCCAACTTCCAGGATAACCGTCTTCCCGCTCCACCTTTGGTTGCCGTAGATCTCGTTCGGGACATTACACACCGCACTGAGCATCACCGCGAAGAGGACGTACACCTTCAAGGCATTCTTCCACAGAGCCTTCCGGATCCCTTCCCTCGGGCGAACATGCTGACGTGGAACCGTTTTGGAGCCCGAAGGCTCAGAAGGAACGCTGCCAACCCGTTCACGCCCAATAGGGGACCCGAGAGTCCTCAAAGTGTCTTTTTGCACTTGATTAGGATGTTCTCCTCCTCGAGGTGTGTAGACGGTGAGAGCGGACCGCTCTCCTTTCCGATCTTCGGTCGCCGTAAGCCGCCGTAGGAGTTCTTGACAATCCACATATTCAAACTGCTTTTCCTTGCGAAGTCGCTTGGTCATCTCCTCGATGGACTCGTTCTGGGCCCTGTCTCCGATGTATCCCACGTACTCCGGGAGGTCGTGGTAGGCGACGTTGTCGTGGATCTCGGTCTCGGAGACGTTTCCAGCATCCATTGCTCCCCCAGACAGCAAAATGCCGTCCGGCCCGAAGCTAATATTGTTTTCGCCGGGGTCGTTCTGTGAAGAGGGAACTTGAACAGCAGGATTATCACGAAGATCGTCGCCTAGACGGTGTGCACCTCGGCTTTCATTGGCGACTTTTCCATCAGCATCTCCCCCAGATAGCCAAATGCCATCCGGCCCGGAGCTTATAGTAGGAGCAGCGAGCTCAGGAGGATCCCGTAGTCCCCGCCTAACATAGCCAGAATGAAAGTCGTGCGCGCAGTCCTGGTCCTGGCCCGGCGAGTCATGCAAACCGAAAGCGCTCACTGCATTCCGAACTTGTCCTTCAGGATTGCCAGCCTCGTGGTCAGCTCCGCGAGCTCCTCCTGAACTTCGGGGGGGATCTCTTGTTGCATCCTTTCCGTTCCTTCGCTGGTCTCCGATCTCGGCCTGGACTGCTTGTTCGTGTTGCGGTCCTCCCTGTAGCCCCGGTGCCCTGTCATAAGATCTGGGGTCCTCGGTGGCGTCGCCTTCGTCTTCGGCTTGAGGGGTTGCTGCGCGTCCATCACCACTGACCATCTCGACGTTGACGACGCTCCCGGCTCTGATGGAGCGTACGGTATCACCGCCACGGCCTCCGGATCGATCGAGGAGGCCATCCTGCTCGTCCGTCCGTCCGCGCGACCCGGCCCAGGTAGCGAGTCGACGTAGCTCGTTCGACGCGTTCGTGTTCGCCTCGACTTCCTTCTGAGCCCACTCCAAGTAGTCCTCGGGAACCTCCCGGTAGAGGTGATTGCGGCACCTTCCGAACGTGACGACCTCCTCGTCGGCACCCTGGGTGTTCTCCCTGATCTTCAGCTGCAGGTAGCCCTTGGTTGTGCTCTTGTTGTACGGGATCTGCAGCTCCGTCGCCTTGGTCTGTAGCTCTGCCAGCGTCATGTTGCCCAGACCCTTTGGCACTTCGCTCTCCAGGTGGTGGGCCCGCTTGTGTTCCTGGATCAAGTGACGGATCTCTCCAACCGTCCATCCACTGTAGACTGTGATCCCGTACTCGTGGGCGAGTTCCACGAGCTCTTTCTTGTTCGCCTTCCATACGTTCAGCTTGGGGGCCATGTGGGGAGAGGAAGTTCACGGAGTTGGGGCGGATCCTAGCAAAGACAGTCCTTCCGATCCACAATGCTGCCACTGGTGAGTTGTCCTTGCTCCACATGTCGTGTACTGTCTGCAAAGCACGATGATCACTGCATGCAACAGGCCATGTACTGCGCACACTGCCGAGCTCACTCAAAAGCTGTTGCTTAAGTCCGGGGTCAGGTACAGTCCAATGATCAGGCCTGAACATGTTCCTGCGAGGGACAACGTGGATCCTGTAGAAGGCTTCGGGGGACTCAATCCAGAAATCGTTAGATACCTTGGTTTCAGACCACCAATCAGCAAACAACACTGCATTCAGGACGTCGGCGGTGAGCATGTTGTAGACTACAGCATTGACTTTCTTTGGGAAGAGGATTCTCGAAGTGACTGTGACCCCAGAAACACAACTGTCACTAAGCATGAACGCCGTGTATTGCTGAGCACTCGAGGAGGCGATCTTGATCTCGGCATCGCCCCACTCTTGGGGGCTCGGGAACTCGAAATTCGGCGGCTTCTTGGGTTCTACGGGAAGTGCAGGATGCTTTGTGTCCGTGTAGCGCAGGTAATAGCGGTCAACTCCAATGGAGGTGAAAACCGCGGAGTGATGAGCCATGTTGTAGATCATGCCGAGCTTTGCCAACACCGTTCGGCTCAACAACATCGGGACGTCGCCGTTGACGATGGCGACGCGGACTAAGACGCTGTGGCCACCGATGTTCAGCAGTACCGTCGCCAAGAAACTAGCGTGGAAAACCTTGCTCGCTCCAAAACGAAAGTTCTCATCACAGCGGTGCAAGGGAACATCAAGTCCAGCCTCTCTGGCCAAACGCGTGTAAGCTTCCAGCCAGCCTTGTCCAGCAACGGTCTTACTGCAGGCGCAGTCGGTGATCGCCAGCAGCTTGTCATGCGAACCCTCCTCGCCGACGACATAGGCAACGTGGGTGACATAGGCCTCCTTCGTCTTCTCGTTCACATTGCCCGAAGTCGCCGTCGTGGAGTTCGTGTTTGAAGCCGGTCGGTTTAAAGGACATTCCGCATCCCGGTGCCAGTGGCCCCTCCTTTTGCACCCGGCGCAATAACTCCTCGATTTTGCGAGTTTCAAGCGCTCAGCAGCTGTCCTTTCTGTGCCCCGCTCGGGGCCTTCGCCATCGTAGCCCCGGTTCTTCCCGAAGTCGCCGTCATAACCCGGGCTCTTCACGAAGTCCTTGTACTTGGCTCTGGCCGCTTCCTGAGCAACGAACGCCTCATGGAGTTCATAGGCCAGCTCTTCCGGCACGAGGTCAGCGTCGTCCTGCTCGTCCTCTTCATCGTCCTCCAGGACCCCGGTGAGGTAGTTCTTAGAGATCTTCCGCTTGTCCTCAAAGCCACTTGGTGTCCCACGGCGAAACTGCCACGGACCCTTCAGGCTCTTCTCGTGCATGATCGCCGCCTTTTGAAGTTTACAAGGGTCGTAGTCATTGCCCACTGAGGCCAGTAGAGCCAACTCTTCCGAAGATGTTAGTCCCATGGCATTCAAATAAGCCCAAGCCCGAGCTACTCCAGGTAGGCGGCAATCAATTTCGAGAAGGCGAGTATAAGCTCTGTCGAAGCTGCTGTTGAACTCCCTCACCGTCTGTCCAGGAGCCCTTCTGAGGCGCTTGAAGAAGAAAGTCAGGGCCTCAGCGATCTTGCTAACCTCGACCTCCTGATAGCGGTCCTGAATCCAGCGCCGGAAGTTCTCCACGCCTTCGGCGCAGCAGAGGGTCTCGACATTCAGCTCCTCCGATTCCACCCAAGCCCTGCCGCTCAGGTGTTGGTACAGCATCAAGGCTCTCTGCTCCGGTGGAGTCCGAGTAACTTTGCACCATGCATCGACTTGTCGAAGATAGCTCCTCGCGGAGCTGCCCAGCTCATCGCCAGCAGCATCGGCCGTGAAACTCGGCACTGCCATCTTCTCCGAGGGAGCCCCACGGCGTTCGGGCTCATGAGGATGTTCTGACCAGTCATCACCGCGAGGCTGCCTGTGGTGAGAGCCGTTATGCCAGCTCTCACGGCGATCCGCGGTCCAGCTGTTCTCCCAGTGGTCCGAGGTGCGCCATCCATCGGTGTCGCTGCGCCAAGATCCGTCACCCGCCGTAGTGGAGCTTCCGTTGTCGTCTTCCCAGCGACCACCAGTCCAGCGCTCACCCCAACGCCAGTCTTGTCTCCAGTCGCTGCCCCATTCGCCACTGCGTTGCGGCCAATCCCACTGATTGGCTCCAGAGCCGTCCTGACCGCGATCGTCGGGCCCATCTCCTCGTGGGCGGTTTCCAGAAGCGTCGTCCCATGCAGCCGTCCAAGCACCCCCCCAGGGGTCCTGATTGGCCGTTCCCCAGGGATCGCCCTGGACATCTTGGCTCGTCGATACTTCGGCCTGCTCTCGGCTCTGACCGTCTGCGTCAGACGGAACATCCGTCTGAGTCGCCATGGCACACAGCTTCTACGGAAAAACTAGAAGTCGGGACCGAACGAAAACACCCCCACTAGACCAAAAGACCACTCGACCGATAAGAACCACCACTAACGCCCGGGACCGCGGCCCGAGCTCCGCTACCAATGTCAAACCAAAACCCAACCCCAAGAGAAAACCAGACCCCAGCACAGCTACGGGTCCCGACCTCGGCTCTTTTCATCGGAGCCAAACGCGTGCGCCTTGCCGGGGGCGAGACGTTCAGACTGGGATTGACA